GTTCTGAGTGAAGTTTCTCTGGCTTGGTCATTATGTTTGCACAAAAGACTTTCTGTTACTATGCAGTACGCAATGCGTTTACTCGAGTGTCTTCATATAAAAAATAGTATATTACCATTTCTCCTTTGTTTTAGTTGATTAACTCATAAAACATTTTCTGAATTTTTGTAATGAACTCTGTATTATTCAGGGCTTTCTAGAGAAATAAAACTGAGAAAGAAAGAAAGAAAGAGAGAGAGAAAGAGAGAGAGAGAGAGAGAGAGAGAGAGAAAGAGAGAGAGAGAGAGATTTTAAGAAATTGGCTCACATAGCTGTGGAGCCTGGAAAGTCCAATGTCTGCAGTGTGGGTCTCAGGCTATAGGCTCAGGGCAGAGCTGATGTTGAAGTTCAAGTCCAAAAGGCTATCTGTCAGAATTCGCTCTTGCTCAGTGGAGGTCGTTCTTTTGTTTATTCAGGTCTTCAGCTGATGGAAGAGGCCTACTTACATTGTGGAGAGCAATCTACTTCACTCAAAGTCCACAGATTTAAATGTTAATCTCATCCAAAAGCACCCTAATCCAGAATAATGTTTCACCACTATGGTCTAGCCCAGTGGTCGGCAAACCGCAGCTCGCGAGCCACATGCAGCTCTTTGGCCCCTTGAGTGTGGCTCTTCCACAAAATACCACATGCGGGCGTGCACGTATAGTGCGATTGAAACTTCGTGGCCCCTGCGCAGAAGTCAGTCTTTGGCCTGGGAGAGTCTATTTTGAAGAAGAGGCGTTAGAAGAAGTGGAGGGTGTCGGTTGGTCGGGCCTCAGGATATGCAGCGCGGGGGAGGCACGCGTGATTCATGCACGAGTTGAGTGAGCCAGTCAGCCAGCAGCCTCATTGTGCAGTGGTTAGTGCTAGTCACGTCCGCAAATCACGCGCGGGTGACAAAAGATAGATGAAACAAGTATACAAGACGAGTGTGGATGGGAGAGTTGGAAGGGGTCGACCTCAGCGAACGTACCTCAATCAGATTGAGGACGTTTTTAGCAAAGGCCAGCTTAGGAGTACCCTAATTAAGTTAATAACAATGTACCTACCTATTTAGTTTAAGCTTAAAAAATTTGGCTCTCAAAAGAAATTTCAATCATTGTACTGTTGATGTTTGGCTCTGTTGACTAATGAGTTTGCTGACCACTGGTCTAGCCAATTGGACCCATAATATTAACCATCTCAGACTCAGATCTTCCTGAGGTCTAGTTCTTATATGCCACTAGCACGGGTTATAGTGAGAAGTCCAAGAATGACTGCTAACTTTTTATTTAAAAAATCAGAAAATTCTATAATATTCTCTATTTTATTGAGACAATCCAATTTAATGGGGGAAAGTCTAAACTATGCTTCTAACTAGCCACTCACTAAACTTACATTTTATCCAAATAAAGTCATAACAGCAAGTATAGACTATTGCTTCTATCAAATTCTTGTCAATCCTGTATAAATGTCACCTCTCTCCTGAGCCATCCTATTCTCTTAGATTCTTGTATTTTTCTCATTTCTGAACTCTTAAGAAATAAGCTGGCCAGGCCAGCCACTGGGTAATTACCAATGCCTTATACTGTAAAATTTTTGGCCAATAGACATATAAAAAAATGCTCAACATCATTAATCATCAGAAAGATGCAAATTAAAAACACAATGAGC